ATTCTATTTCTAAAATTAATACTTAAAGAAAACGTATTAAACGAAAAGTTATATATGAACCCTGCACATGATGAAGCTGTATATATAAATATGATGTAATAGTGGGAAACCATTTTATGGAATATAATAAGGATACATATATCTCCCACATAGTATTCATGAGAATTCTTTAAGTGAAACAAATTCTACAAATACGGAACATGTGAAGGATATAAAATATTGCAAATAAATGAAATAATAGGGAAAAAGAATGAATAAATGAAATTAATCAATTCAGGGAAATATTCAAAAAATTAAAAATCTTATTAATCGAATTTCTGAACGAAAATTAAGTGATAAAAAACAGGATTAACATACCGATTGTTCATGGTATATTCTGACACATCATATGGTAAAACTGTACAGAGATAAACATATTTAATATCAGAATTTATACTAAGTTTATCTGAACAGAAGATAGATGAAACTTCGGTAACATAAAACAGGTATAGAATACTAAGATACTAAATGTATAATTTGTTATAATCCCTGTAAAAGATAACTATTAAAAATAGAATCATTCATATGCTTAAATATATGTGTCATGTGTTGCAATAAGAAATATATATAAAAGGAAATTTTATCGTAGCACTTGCTTGCTATTTTAGAACTATTATTTACATAAGTAAGGTTCTACAACTTTTTGTCTACTATATTATTTCAGCAGTTCTATGAAGAAATAGAACAAACTAATGCAATATAAAACAATTATTTTTTACAGATGCCCTTGTGAAATTTGTCTATATCACATTTAGGGTCTATTTAGCTAAAAAAATTATATTCTTGTAAAATACCCTAAAAGGAAAATCTCATGTGAATATTTTATTTTTATGTTCATGTCATGAATTCATAGAAATGTGTGATAATCATATTACAGACATTTCACATATTTTTAGAGCTATATAATGCTAAGAAGTTGGAAGATCTATTATAGAACGTGAATATTATGGTGAAAATTATAACATCATTTTTTCATATGGCTGTATATAATGTATTAGATTTAAGATCAGTTTAAAATACTGACACTTAAGTTGCTCCTAGGTTTTGAAATTATAATTATTAGTAATAAGTTAATATTTAATATATACTCAAGTATCCCAAACACACGAATGAACGTAATTTTACTCTATATATTTATAGAACACAACATCTTAATGACTTCAAATCGTACAAAATTTTATTAAAATAAGACATATCATAATTATGAATATATTTTGTTACATATATATTATTTATAAAATTTACACACGGGTGCATATATATAGCATGGTACAACAATATGTTTAATTTAACTTAAATATTTGAATCATAAATCAAAAGTATGATCAGTTTCATATCTATAATGTCAAACACTTTAGAAAAAAAATAAGCAGTTTTTCAAATTCACTAAAAGACTTAACCTCAATTAATGTATAATAAAAAGAACATAGTCTATTATCATTATTAAATTAGTTTTCTGTAGAATTTGTTTCACACGACTAACATAAAATCAACAATGATACATATTTTATCGTCCCTTTGATAATAAAGTTTCTTATACTAGATATTTTATATTTAGTAATTCAAATTATAACGCTGCTTCTTATTAATTTCGATATTATCTTTACGATTATACAATAATTTTACTCTTTTGGGTAATTTATAGCAGAAACTCTGAAATTATTTATTACCCAGATAAACGATTTATTTGTTGTGTTTCATATAAACTTTTTTTTACAGAAATTTTGCTAAAAAAATGTTCATTTATCTAATATTAAGGGAAATTTCATAAAGTACAAAATTTAAAATAACAGAAAAAAATGAAACATTAGTAAGCATATATATATTTTGGACGATATATGTCCGATTATTATTGATAATGAGGGAAATTTTGAATATAAATAAGAAACAAATAGTTTTTTAAAAAAAAGAAAATTCATAAATTTACCAACATTATTCATGTATGAATTTTCTTTTTTTATTTAGGTTTTCATAAAGAAAGTGTAAAGTAGCAATGCCTGTAGTAAGGAGTTAAGATCTGTCTTAGAACAAACCAAGGAGTGAGTGTGTCTATTGGGGGAAACATAGCATTATTTGTAATTTTTAACATACACTATCAGGTACAAATAAGTAATATCAATTAAAATTAATTAACATAATTTATAAAGTGATATATTACAACATACCTATGTAGTACTTTTGTTAACAGTTTTAATATGAACAAATGTAGTATATTTTTATTATAACAGTAAAAAAAAAAAAAAAATTAATAAATAAAATAAAATTAATTATCAAGGTAATTGTTGTTCTTTATATCCGCTCTTTATACAAAACAAAATAATTCTTCTAAAGAACCATAATATTTCAAAATGTAATTTGTTTTATAATTTGTAGCAGAAAAAGTGTACAGTTTTGTGTTTTGTTCAAAGGCACATCACTGTTGTTAAAGTATATTATTTTATATTAATAAATGTTCCTCAGCTTGAATAAGATCATTTATAAATATCTATATAAAACTATATTGTATGGGGTTCTTGAACTCCTATGTACCATTTTTATAATTGTATAAATAGGATCGTAATGTTAATCTAATCGTTATATATTTCATATCTCAACGATTTATCGAAGCATAAAATTGCCATTTTGTAATATGGAAAATGTACAATTTTGTTAAACTATCTAAATAAATAATAAAAAACTACAGTAATTTTCCTACATTATAATATTAAAGTTTGTATTTTTGTTTTTTACATAATTATTAATACAGTATATCCTTTCTACATTTTAGCAGATTTCTGTTTCGAATGTATTTTTATTTGCATAGTTTGCAATAAATTAATATTTATAAAAATGTAAAAATAAAATATTATTAAAATAAAGAAAAAGAAATGTGCTAAACGAGAATTATTTCTTAATTTTTTATTATGAAAAAATTGTTATAAGTGCAATTCTACAAATGTTGTCCTGTGAAAAGTGGGGGTGGTATATATGTTATATTTTTCGAAGGCGAAATTTTAAAATATATTATTCTTTTAATTATAACAAATTATTATATGTAAAATAACATGCATGCCCATTATATAACATTTATAATGAATATATTAAAATTAAAAATAAATATATAAATACTGCACTATATGTGCCTATAGATATAATATTTTTTATTAATAAAAGAACATTATTCAAAATAAATATATTTAATGAGGCTTATATTTTCACATTATATTAAATATTTTGCGTGCATTATACATAACAGATGTCGTATATATATTAAATCGTGTTAACTTTAATATTAGAAATTAATAAACATGTAAATATATCAATAAATTGAAACTATATCTACTCAACACAATAGATTAAATGATATGAAAAAAAAATGTTAAAATAATCCAAGAACTATATGAACTGAAAAAATCACATAAACATAAAACCATAAAAACTGGTTTATTTAGAATGATGAGTAAATACAAAATTTAAACTGTATCTTGATTATGAACCATACTCTAATGCATTTATTGAATAATATGTTCAAACTAATGTAATATATATTTTGAGTCAATTTCCTGTGGAATTCACTAATCTAAAATTTTTTTTTGGATTTATTTCATTTATACATGAGTTCATATAAGATTTTTTAATATATATTTAGTATTCTTTTTATTATTACGGATATATTTACATTATAAATATGCTGTTTACAAAATCACTATATATGATATTATATATTGTATATATTATTACATGACGTAGTGCTGAATTGTTCAAATTCTTCCAACGTATTTTTTTCTTTTTCTAAGTTGTGCATTTTATTTATATTATATTTTAATCGATATAGAAAACGTGAATACAATGGGGTAAACTAGTACATTAAAAATATATATATATATGTATATCTGTAAAGATTATATTTAGGTATAAAATTTTTTATATTGAATAATCTAGAAAAATTATAGTATATATATATTTTTAAACGATATAATTATTAACCTTATAAGCAATATATAACAACAGAGATATTATTAATGATATGAGAATAGGAATTGCAATAGCTGATCCAATATTATTTTTACAGGTTTGTATAATTTCTTGTTCTCTAAATTCTATTTCGACATTTCTATTTTTTTGATTATATTGGTTTATTTTATCTACTAATGCTTGACAAAATATAGTGTCTACATTTTTTTTATTTTCTAATTCCCTAATATCAAGACATTTGTATATTTCATACATATATTTTACTTTGTCTATTTGATCATAAAGAATAGTGTTATTTATATATGTCGTGCACATATATCCAGTGTTATTGTCTGCTTTATGCAGTTTTATAATATCATCGTACACATTTTTGATTTCGCAAGTTTTATTATAGGATTTAATCTTTTCATATATCCAATAATAGAGGTAATAACAAGCCGCTTCTTTAGGTAAATTGTTAACATAACGATTAATATAATCTAAATATTTCAAAGCTATGGGGCATATATTATTTTTGTCGGAATTTTCATTCGTGAAATATTTTTGAATGACGGTGTTACATTTTATTTTATCTTGTTGATCCAAGCTATTTTCATAACTATCTATAGTGGATTGACATAGAGGGAATGAGCTTATAGATTCGTACTATAAATAAGAAACCAATGTAAGACATATAAATTTATGCCATTTAATATATTCTTTATAAAAATAATGAGAAATAAAATATAATATTATTTTATCATGTAGGATATATGATAATAATTCAATATACAATATTTTCCATCATACGAAATATAACTATATTGAATATCAAGTGAACTATATAAAAGAATGAAATAAATATACATACATATACTTAGTTTTCATAATAAGGATATTTATAGGTTTATTAAGTGCTGTTTTTTATGAACTACCAAAATTATGTAAAAATATAAAAGGAATACATGATGAATAATTTTTGAACAACTTAAAATAATGAAGCACTAAGATAATGTATTTAAAATATTAAATATTTATTTTAAATAAAAAAT